AGTGAGAGACTGTTGGAAATATGCCCTAGAGGTAATAATAAAAGTATCATTATTATATTTCCTTGTTCATGATAATTGTCTTTTATTCATGCTATAATTTTATTATCCGGAATACATAGACCACAATACGTCCCTAGTAAGCCCCTAGTTGACTAGCTCGTTGGTGAACAGATAGTCATGGTTTCCTGACTATGGACATTAGATGTCATTGACAACGGGATCACGTCATTAGGAGAATGACGTGATGGACAAGACCCAATCCTAAGCATAGCATAAGATCGTGTAGGTCGTTTTGCTAGAGCTTTTCCAATGTCAAGTATCTCTTCCTTAGACCATGAGATCGTGTAACTCCCGGATACCGTAGGAGTGCTTTGGGTGTACCAAACGTCACAACGTAACTGGGTGACTATAAAGGTGCACTGCAGGTATCTCCGAAAGTGTTTGTTGGGTTGACACGGATCGAGACTGGGATTTGTCACTCCGTATGACGGAGAGGTATCTCTGGGCCCACTCGGTAATGCATCATCATAATGAGCTCAAAGTGACTAAGTGTTTGGTCACGGGATCATGCATTACGGTACGAGTAAAGTGACTTGCCGGTAATGAGACTGAACGAGGTATTGGGATACCGACGACCGAGTCTCGGGCATGTAACGTACCGATTGACAAAGGGAATTGCATACGGGGTTGATTGAATCCTCGACATCATGGTTCATTAGATGATATCATCGAGGAGCATGTGGGAGCCAACATGGGTATCCAGATCCCGCTGTTGGTTATTGACCGGAGAGCCGTCTCGGTCATGTCTGCATGTCTCCCGAACCCGTAGGGTTTACACACTTAAGGTTCGGTGACGCTAGGGTTATTAGGAAGACTTGTATGTGATTACCGAATGTTGTTCGGAGTCCCGGATGAGATCCCGGACGTCACGAGGAGTTCCGGAAGGGTTCGGAGGTAAAGATTTATATATGGGAAGTTGTCATGCGGACACCGGAAAGTTTTGGGGGCATATCGGTATTGTACCGGGGCCACCGGAGGGGTTCCCGGGGGTCCACCGGAGGGGGCCACCTTTCTTGGTGGGCCACATGGGCCGCGTGGGGAAGGGAACCAGCCCCTGGAGGGCTGGGCGCGCCCCCCCTTGGGCCCATGCGCCTAGGGTTGGGGGGGGGAACCCTAAAGGGGGCGCCCCCCTTTGCTTGGGGGGCAAGCCCCCTCCCTGGCCGCCGCTCCCCTCTAGATCTCATCTAGAGGGGGCCGGCCCCCTTCCTCCTTCCCCTATAAATAGAGGGGTGAGGGGAGGGCTGAACACCTGATCCAAGGCGCAGCCCCTCCCCTCCCCAACACCTCTCCTCCTCCGTTGTGCGCTTGGCGAAGCCCTGTCGGAGTACTGCCTCTCCACCATCATCACGCCGTCGTGCTGCTGCTGGAGCTTTCTTCCTCAACCTCTCCTTCCCCCTTGCTGGATCAAGAAGGAGGAGACGTCGTCCGTACCGTACGTGTGTTGAACGCGGAGGTGCTTTCCGTTCAGCACTTGGTCATCGGTGATCTGAATCACGTCGAGTACGACTCCATCATCACCGTTCCCTCGAACGCTTCCGCACGCGATCTACAAGTGGTATGTAGATGCAATCTCTCTCCCATGACTCGTTGCTTAGATGAACTCATAGATGGATCTTGGTGAAACCGTAGAATTTTTTTTAATTTTCTGCAACGTTACCCAACACATGGGAGCTGACTGAGGTGGTGGCAGCAGAAGGAACACAAAGCCAGTCAACTTCCCAAAGACCCTCGGACTCACAGCGCCGGGGGCCAGCACCAACCAAAACCTTGGTGTGGCGATCCTGAATGGAGCAAGAATCGGTATCAAGAATGACCCGACAACCAGAATCAGTAAGTTGGGCAGCAGAAAAAAGATTCATGGTAAGGCGAGGAACATGTGAAACACTCGGAACAGAAAAAGATGGAGTGGAAAGAATACCACGACTAGCAACAGAAAGAGATGTGCCGTCGGCAATAAGAACATTGATAGGATAATAAAGAGGGCGAAGAGAAGACAACGCTGAAGAATCAGATGACATATGAAAGGAAGCTCCATAGTTCAGAACCCACGAAGATGTACCTGACGGTGTAGATGTCGGTGGTGATGAAGTGGTGGAAGCAGTCACAACAGTAGCAGAACCTGTCGGTGAAGAACCAGAGGAAGCCAGAAGGCGTTTGAGTTGTACAATGTCCTGGTCAGTGAGTGACGGAGTCGAGGAAGATCCAAGAGTCCCACTGGGAGAGGAGCGCCTCTGGTCTCGCTTCTTCTCACGGCAATCAGACTTTGGGTGACCTGGCCAAGAGCAGTAGCCACAGAAGGTGTCACGGCGCGACCGGCCCTTCTCAGCATAAGGAGGGAGACCCACCCCCCTTGAAGGTGTAGGTAGGAGCGGTGGAGCAGTGACACGAGCAGACGACACTGGAGCCCGAGAAGCCAACACAGACGGAACCGCGAGCAACCCTGCAGAGCAAAGGCAGGTCTCCTTATCATGAAGCTCAGCAAGCACCTCCGAGATAGGAACACGCCCACGAGCAAGCAGGTGAGCACGTCGAGGCTCGAACTCAGAGCGGAGACGTGATAAAAACTCATGAACCCGCTGAAACTCCAAATCAGACCGAGTAGTCTGACAGCAACGACAAGTTCCACAAACAACTGTCCGAAGAGATTCAAGTTGACGCCAGATGGCAGAGCACTGTGAATAGAACACATCAACATAGGAATTACCTTGCTGGAGCGCGTGCTCCTGACGCACCACAGATAGGTAGAGAGCATCACCAGAGGGCTGATAGCGCTGACAGAGATAAGACCACATTGCTGCAACTGTGCCAAGTCCCATGAACTCCGAAGCAAACTGAGGAAGGACACTTGCAGTGAGAACAGCAGTAGCACGAGCATCATCATTGCACCACTGAGTGTAAGCAGACAGATCGTCGCGGTACACAAAAAGAGCATCTGAATAAGCTGATACCTGCTAATCATAAGCATCAACCGCAGCATCATCGAGAGCCTTGGCTGCATCCCGGTTAGCCTGAGAAGCATCGACAGTAAGTACTGGCGGCACCGGTGGGATTGGGGCCACTGGCGCAACAGGGCATGGCGGACAGGGGACCTCGCCAGAGAGAACACCCCACAGAAGAAGACCACGCATATGGATGTGCATGAACCCCACAAACTCAACATAGTTGGTGCCATCAAAAATCACCGAACACCTGGGAACAGCGACATAGCCCGAAGAAGACTTAACAAGGTCTACTCTCTGTTGTTATTGGTTTTTTTGGAAGTCAACCAGCACGCACTCGATCTGGATCGGCAGAGGGGCGCTCGAGGTCGGTAGGAGCTCGCTCAAGCAGGTTGAGCGGCGCTGCCTGGCGCAAGTAGAGAGGCGTACACTAGTAGAAACCGGAGCTTTAAAACCGGTTCGTAAGGGCCTTTAGTGCCGGTTCTGCAACCGACACTAAAGGGTGGAGACTAAAGCCCCCCCCCCTTTAGTACCGGTTCGGCACGAACCACCACTAAAGGCCCACCATGTGGCGTGAGCTCGCGCCGAGGTATGGGGGACCTTTAGCACCGGCTGGTGTTACCAACCAGTACTAAAGGTATTTTTTATTTTTATTTTAAATTTTTTATAAAATATTTGATTTTTCTTCTTCTGATTTTTAATTTTCTAAATTATTTTAACCTCTAATCTCTAATCACCCCTCACCACTGCTCAATTTAACCTCTAATCTCTAATCATCCCTCATCATTCCAAATCATCTAACTTCCCGGACGGTCACCCATCCTCTCACTACCCCAGCCTGAGCACGCTTAACTTCCGGGTTCTATTCTCCCTCGTTTCCAAGTCTGCTCTTGTTGTTTTCCTGACAAATGTAAGCTGCCAATCCTATTAACCTCAGCAGTTTAGCTTGAGCATTAGGTCATAGGTTTCACCGTTTGAGTTTGGAACTATTATTCTAAAAAACAGTTAGTAACACTAATATTTCTTGAATAAGTTTGACCACAGTTTGACCATAGTTTGACCACAGTTTGACCATAGTTTGACCAGATTTGACCAAAATTCAAAAATTGAAATAATTATTTAGTAACACTAATATTCTTGAATAATTATGTAGCAACATTAATACTTCTTGAATAAGGAGTTTGACCATAGTTTGACTAGATTTAACCAAAATAAAAAAAAACAGAAATTTGAGCATATCTTTTTTTTTCTTTTGGAATTTGAGGATTCTTAAAAATTGCAAACAGGTCGTAGGCGGTCAAAATCGGATGCGGATTTTCGTGCTAAATTTTTTGATAAATTATACGTTTTTTTCCGACATCGTATGCAAAAGTTATAGCCGTTTTACATTTTCCCTACACTTTTTGCAAAACATGTCTAAATTTAAGTTTTTAAATTTTACTAACTAGTAGATGTAGTAATATAACTACATCTCGAAGAATTTTATGTTTTGAATTTTTTATCATTTTCTTTTGTATTTTTTAAAACTGAAATGGCGATACACCGGGGGGGTTAGAGTTTGAAAATATCCCTATAGTCCCGATTTGTGTCTCCAACCGGGACTATAGGTCAAACCCCTTTAGTACCGGTTCGTGGCACGAACCGGTACTAAAGGTTAGCCCTTTAGTATCAGTTTGTGCCACGAACCGGTACTAAAGGTGATCGCGCGGCCCTGGCCTGACGCCAGCCTGCCACCACCCCATTTAGTACCGGTTCGTGGCACGAACCGGTACTAAAGGTTCAAAACGAACCGGCATTAATGCATAGCCATTCGAACCGGCACTAATGGTATCATTAGTACCAGGCCAAAATCGAACCGGGACTAATGTGTCTCACATTAGGTCCTTTTTCTACTAGTGGTAGGCGCCTTGCTGGGTGCTGGTTACCCGCTGGCCAAAACCAGCCAGGGGCAAAGGCAGTGGCCGAACCAGCCAGGTGCTATATACATCTAACAGATATTACCTCCGCAAAAGACTTGTAGTTGCCCCTACTAGCAATGGGTTCCATCCGAGCCTTTATTTGCTGACAGGCATCCAAAACTGCAGCACCATACAAATCTGAACTGGTGGAAGCTGATGTTGGTGAAGCATTTGGAACCTAAGCATATATATGAAATATGTGATCACTCCATCGATAGTAACAGAAAAAGTACGATATACAAACAAAGACAAAGTAGATATATGTTCTGTATAGAGGGATATTCCCTACCAGCAATGGGTTCCAAACCTCACCTTGTCTGTACTTGTCTCTGAGATAAATACACAGCTTAGAGGTATATCGAGTGACGAGGCAGCAACTTGGGCTATCTTTGTGTGTAAACGCTGCCCCATCTCAACTCCACCATGCGTTACCAGGACAGTACCATCAGTGTAAACTTGCACAAGAGCACCAGCCTGCAATTGTTTACCCATACAAACTTGTGTCAGATTGAATAATGACGTAACCAAACATGATGTAAGCCATAGCTAAGGTTTTAACTTGTTTAATATTTACGATGGAACATCTATAATTTAAACAATGATTCAGAATATCATCATGGTACTGGAGTATACACTTGCCAGAAATGGCACAAAATACAACAAATTTTAGAGGAATTTCATCCAAATGCATGATCCACACTGATCAAGGAATATAATCCTGCAAATTCTTCATCTGATACAAGCACCAGCGACAAGGTACATTGCTGGCAAGATAATATGTTTGTGTGTTCTGGGGTACAAATCCGATGACAATGACACCACCCCCACACAGGGGATGTCTGTTTATCCCATTCTCCATTTAGCTATTGGGCGCAGGTCCCAACAAGGACCTAGCAAGTAGCAATGCCAAATTCATAAGTTTTCCATAGTTTTGTTGCGACTCAGTTCATCATATACTAAGTACAAAGAAGTAAAGTTGTTCATACAAAAGATACTAACCCAATAAAATATGATTTATATAGAGATTACACAACTGTAGCAGAGGTTTCTTGTGGAGTTTGTGAGGGGGAGCTATTCACCTGATTCATAAATTTTGTAGTGAATGATATGCCAAATTTTGTGGGAATCATAGCAATTCCTCGCTTCCTCCAGCGATTATTACTGTTAGACATTTACAGCTTTGCGAGCCTCCACAAAATTAGAAGATGCCTTTAGTTCATCCCAAACGGAATGTATTTTACAGCTCTGCACCAACTGGCCATAATAAAGCACAACTCCATCACTGTGAAAATTAAGTTCCTGCAAACAGTACATCAATTACCAAGAAAAATTGGGTGACAAGGATAGCACCACATGTAAACATGGCCATTCTTACTTTTATCTCCTCTGGAGTCCGCTTGATTTCCATAGCTATGTGATGAATCCAATTCTCTGCAATCAACATACCTTGTGGACCACCAAAACCTCTAAAGGCAGTATTGCTTGGGAAATTTGTAAAGCATACTTTCCCACTGACTCTGATATTTGGTATATCATAGACATTTTCTGACTCAAACATAGCATGCTCCAAGACTGCAAGGGAGAGATCTAGTGAGTTGCCGCCATTGTTCTAAATTTCAAGGTCTAAGGCCAGTATCTTCCCGTCATTGGTAAATCCAACCTAAAAGATCAATTATAGTTCGGTAAAATACAGAAAAGTAAAGGGAAATTCAGTACTACTCGTATTTGAGCCAATTTTCCACCTGTTGTCGTCCATAATTGACTTCAACATTACATGACAGGGGTCCAGTGTATTCACTGATTATCACTGAAAAATTCACGTCTATCTTTTAAATCTTACAACATGGTGCATATGGAGATATTGGGTCCTCTAGAACCAATCAACCCAGTTGCTAAAATTATTTGCTAGGAACTCAGCAGACTAGAGCCATCAGACTCACATATTAGTTTTCCCAAGGATCGAACACACGATCTGACAGCTCGACCGGCACTCACGCAAACACCAGGAACAGAAGTCCAAAACACAAAGACACGAATGCAACAACTTGACATTGGCCAGAGGCACATATCATGCCTTGTATTTCTTCTACTGCTTTTGTATTTTTCTGATGTTTACAACTTGATGACTACCGCTGCTTATATACGAGCAACCAACACCCAATACCTCTACCTAGTCATACTCTATTTGAATCTACATGTACTCATAGTCTCATACTAGATTCGCGACATGCAAGCTTACAACACACTCAGATGAACACGGACAACAGGTTCCATGCGACTCATACACTACTAGTTTGGATTCATGCAACATCACAGTACTAACTATATGGCTGAAAGCAATGTACTATTTAAACTCCATACCTTATATTTCCCCAAAAAACCGTGTCTTTGCCCAGTTGTCATCATGTCAACATCCCTATCCAAAACAATCTTTACTGGCCTTCTTAGACAATAGGCAGCTACAGACGCTGCTGCAGCAAATATTACTGATCTAGTTTCTTTTCCACCAAATCCGCCACCAATACGCTTAGTCTTGCAAACAACTTTTGATAGTGGAAGACCAAGAACATTAGCAACATACATCTGATGTGTATGGGGAGCCTTAAGATAAAGAACATTTAGTCAAATAAGAGAATATATAAGGCTGAGTGCATATGCAATGTCAAACAAACATGACACAAGACACTGGTAACAATAGACAAGTGAACTCACAAAAATAAGGTCAGGAAAGACAATACTACAATTTGTACTGGAAAAATATTTAGCTGAAAACTGCCAAGGTCTGAACAAACTGAACCAAGACAGGCACTCAACTTTGACGCACTTCTCATCGACGAAAGAATCCTGTGATGAACCTTTGGTACATGTGATACACATGAGGCTTATTTTTTACAGCCTCTGTAAACTAATATAAGACCTTTTAGGTCACTACTTTAGTGACCTAAATAAAAATTACTGGCACCGAGTCATTAGGTGACTAGATACTATGTAATATAAAAATCCTTAGAAGTGAAGCCTACTGACAAAATGGACCGCACCAGATGCTAGGCTATAGCCTATAATAAGCAGAAGCACTAGTTATAGTGGGTCCCACCCACTGGAAAAAATAGCGCGCTATAACGCCGCTAATAGCATGCTATAGCATATAGAGAATTGTCTCGCTAAATAAATCAATATACAATGCCTCGCTAATAGCGCGCTATAGCATGCTAATAGCATATTTTCCGGGGCCATGCTATTTTCTGTAGCGCGCTATTTTTTTTCGAGGTCATCAACATAGAGAAGGAGAAGAGTCCGGCCACGAGGAGACGTGTGAACAAACAATGCGGGATCATGATCACTGGGCAAGAAACCAGCGGCAGTCACCACAGAGGCGAAACGCTCGAACCAGGCGCGAGGGGCCTGTTTAAGACCATAGAGAGAGCGACGAAGTCTACAGACCATACCATTAGAAGCATAGGACCCCGGTGGTGGCTGCATATAAACCTCCTCATGCAACTCGCCATTGAGAAAGGCGTTCTGGACATAAGTGGAGAGATAGACCAATGACGAACAGAAGCCACAGCAAGAAGAGTGCAGACAGTGGTCATGTGGGCCACAGGAGCGAATGTCTCATCATAATCGCGTCCCTGCTCCTACTGAAAACCACGAGCCACAAGCCGAGCTTTGTAGCATTCTAGACAACCATCAGAGCGAGTCTTAATCTTGTAGATCCACTTGCAGGGGATGAGACGAACACCGGAAGGAAGGGAAACCAGATCCCATGTGCCAGAGCGCTCAAGGGCAACAAGCTCTTCGGCCATCGCAAGCTTCCATTCAGGCTGAGTCATGGCAGTCCGATAGGAAGTGGGCGCAGTAATAACATAGAGACCATACCGATCAGGAGAATAGCGATCAGGCGGGGGGCGAGGCCGAGCACAGATGTTATGAACCAGGGGAGGCGTGAAGGGAGACGCACTAGAGGTGGAAGGCACCTCAGGGGAAGCATCCTCAGAACAAGGACGACGAGTGTAGTGGAGAGGAAACGGTGAGAGAGGGTGACAGACTGGAGATGATGGTGGAGAGGTAGATGAGGAGGATGGGGAAGAGGGTGCTGGTGGTGAATGGGAACGGATGAGAGGTGCCGGAGGAAGAGCTGAAACATGAGGCACATAGCAGGGTGAATCGGGAAGGAGAAGAAAAGAAATCTCGTCCACGGAGAAGCTCGAGGAAGAGAGACAGGGGAAGTAAGAGCGAGACTCGTCAAAAGTCACATCACGCGAGATGCGCAAGCGACGACCGACGGGATCCCAACAACGATAGCCCTTGTGCTCATCACTGCAGCCAAGGAAAACACACTCAACCGACTGAGCAGTCAGTTTGGTGCACTCGAGCGGGCCAAGAAGGACATAGCACACACATCCAAACATACGAAGAGTTGAGTAGTCAGGAGAGCGACCAGTGAGGCACTCCATAGGAATACCACCCTGCAGAGCAGTCGATGGCTGAATTTTGATGAGATAGGTGGATGCAAAAACAGCCTCAACCCAAAAGTGGGGTGGAAGGGAGGCGGCAATCATCAGCGCACGAGTCGTCTCAAGTAGATGACAATGCTTACGTTCTGTAACGCCATTCTGGGCATGAGCACCAGGACAGGAGAACTGGGCAAGGGCACCCTATTCGGCGAGAAAACCACACAACATCTGGGAGATATACTCTCCAGCGGAGTCAGCACAAAAAGTACGAATAGACGTGGAAAAATGGGTGCGAACCATTTGTATAGAGAGAGAACCTCGCTACGAGATTTCATGAAATAGAGCCAACAAGTGTAGCGAGAGAAATCATCAATAAACAAAACATAATAGCGATGACCACCTTTCGAATCAAAGGGAGCAGGACCCCAGACATCAGAATGAACTAAGTCAAAAGGACGCTGAGATACCAACTGACTGGTAGGATAAGGTAATTGGGTCTGTTTGCCAAGTCTACAACCATTACAATGTAAAGAAACATCTCTAGATACAGACCCTAAGAGACACTGGCGCACTAATGAAGACAAGCGAGAGCCACAGATGTGACAAAGGCGATGATGCCACTGCTGTAAGGACGCAGATGAAGAGGCAGCAAGAGCATGAGAGCTGACTAAAGTGGTGGCAGCGGAAGGAACACAAAGCCAGTGAACTTCCCAAAGGCCCTCTGACTCACGGCGCCGGGGGCCAACACCAACCAAAACCTTGGTGCGATGATCCTGAATAGAACAAGAGTCGGTATCAAGAATGACACGACAACCAGAATCAGTAAGTTGGGCAGCGGAAAAGAGATTCATGGTAAGGCAAGGAACATGAGAAACACTAGGAACAGAAAAGGATGGAGTGGAAAGAATACCACAACTAGCAACAGGAAGAGATGTGCCATCGGCAGTAAGAACATTAATAGGAGAATCAAGAGGGAAAAGAGAAAACAATGCTGAAGAATCAGAGGACATAGAAAGGAAGCTCCAGAGTCCAGAACCCATGAAGATGTACCTGATGGTGTAGATGCCGGCAGTGATGAAGTGGTGGAAGCAGTCACATCCAGCAGGAGAACCCCTCGATGAAGAAACAGAGGAAGCCAGAAGGTGCTTGAGCTGCACAATGTCCTGGTCAATGCGTGACGGAGTCGATGATGACACAGGAGTCCAACTCGAAGAGGAGCCCCTTTGGTTTCGCTGCTTTTGGCGACAACCAGACTCTGGGTGGCCTGGCCTGGAGCAGTAGTCACAGAAGGTGTCACGACGCGACCGACCCTTCTCAACATAAGGAGGGCGACCCACCCTCCCTGAAGGTGTGGGCAGGAGCGGTGGAGCAGTGAGACGAGGAGAGGACACATGAGCTCGAGCAGCCAACACAGAAGGAACCACAAGCAATCGAGCAGAACGAAGGCGGATCTCCTCTGCACGAAGCTCAACAAGTACCTCCGAGATAGGAACACGACCACGGGCAAGCAAGTGAGCACGTCGAGGCTCAAACTCAGAGCGGAGGCGAGATAAGAACTCATGGACACGCTGAAACTCCCAAGTCAGACCATGTAGTCTGACAGCAATGGCAAGTCCCACAAACAAATGTCCTAAGAGGGTCAAGCTAACGCCAGATGGCAGAGCACTGTGAATAGAACTCATCAACAGAGGAATCACCTTGCTGGAGTGCGTGCTCCTGATGCACCACAGATAGGTAGAGAGCATCACCAGAGGGCTGATAGCACTGACAGAGATAAGACCACATCGCTGCAACTGTGCCAAGTCCCATGAACTCCAAAGCAAACTGAGGGAGGACACTCGCAGTGAGAACAACAGCAGCACGAGCATCATCATTGCACCACTGAGTGTAAGCAGACAGATCATCACGGAACACCGAAAGAGCATCTGAATAAGCTGATACCTGCTGATCATAAGCATCAGCCGCAGCATCATCGAGAGCCTTGGCTTAATCCCGGTCAGCCTGAGATGCATCAGCAGCAAGTACTGGCGGCACCGATGGGATTGGGGTCACTGGCGCAATAGGGCATGGCGGACAGGAGACCTCGCCAGAGAGAACACCCCACAGAAGAAGACCACGCATATGGATGCGCATGAACCCCACAAACTCAGCGTAGTTGGTGCCATCGAAGATCACCGAACACCTAGGAACAGCGACATAGCCCGAAGAAGACATAACGAGATCTTCTGTTTCTTTCTCTTTCCTGTCTCTTTTTTTAAGTCAACGGACACAGAGACTCAATCTAGATCGAGCAAAGAGCGGCCGAGGCAAGGAAACGCATGCGGCTTGATCTGGATTGAGCCTCCGCTCGATTGAGGCAGGGAACCGATTAGGGACCAGGGCCAGTCGACCGCGGCCGGACAGGCAGCGGGATGATGGCGGCCGGATAGGCAGCTGGGGCGATGGCGGCTAAGCGGAGATGGAGTGGCGGCGGCCGGGCAGCTGGGGCGGCGACGGCCGAGCAAAGACGGAGCAGCGACCGAGCGGGAGGGGCGGCCGGGCGACATGGTGACCTGACGGGATGAGCTGGATGAGGCAGCGGCCGAGTGGGAGGGGCGGCCGGGCGACACGGCGACCGGACGGGACAGGCCCAACGAGGAAGAGGCTACAGGAGCCGGACGAGACGGCGTCCTGCTGAAGGGGCAGCAGAGTCGGGCTGGAGAGACAACGATCGGACGGCCAGAGACGAGCAGGCTAGGAACGGGGCGCATGGAGTTGCATCGTGCCAGAGGAAGGGGCTAGCCTAGCATCTGATACCATGTTGGATAATTATCAACTAGTATTCATCGAGGACCAAAGGCCATTACATATACATGTGTGTTAAAGTGCAGGAAACCCCTTATACAATGGGGATGTACCGAAAAGAGACTATACACATCTAAAAGCAGTATCTATAGGTGAGCCTGAGTTTCATACTCCTTTTTCTAGATTACTTATTTCAAAAGAAGCTATTACTTTTTTCCGAGCAAGGACCAAAGTGTGTGTCATTTCTCAATAAAAGAACACAAAGAAGGCACAAAATGTACATTTCTCGTTAGATTTGTGGTTCGTTTCTAAATTGGTGTTTCGTTCATAAAGAAGCTATTGCTATGGGAGCATCAAACATATTATCGACATATGAAATTCACATTATAAATTCAATATTAAAGAACAGGGCATACTTGAGTAGATGAGATCATATGAATTTCATTTCCAGAATCAACTGGCCAGACAAGAGTGCATTGAGGTTCCATGTAGAAGTGCTCTTGACCTCCGACTAGAACTTCTCCTTCTATAACTTTATCGCATGTATTGGATGCAAAACATAGTTCAACATCCCCTTTCGAAAGGCATCTTGTGGTATGTGGATGAAAACTACTAGCTTTGATAGCTTCCTCTATTGAGAGGATTGCTGGCAGCTTAGAATACTTGATATTTACTTTATTTGCAGCAGCTTTTGCATTATCATGGGTGTCTGCCACAACGATTCCGATGATCTGCCAATGAGAAGAGAAAAGTGTAATTTTATCAAAATAACAAAGATGCGGGACATTCCACCTCCCAAGTCATATCAAAACCTGTACGACTAAAATATCAGATCCAACAGATATACCTGGCCAACACAAGTAACGACATCAGATGCAAAAACCTCCCCATCATGGATAATTGGCCCAATATTCTTTTTGTGGAGGAATCTAATTGGCCCAATACTGTTAGCACCGGGCACATCTTTTGAGAGGAAGAGACCAGCGAACCCAGGGGAACATTTGGCAACTGAATCATCAATAGACAAAATGCGAGCGTGAGCCTCCTTACTCAGTACCAGAGCAGCATGCAAGGTATTCGGGGGTGTTGGTGTGTCATCAACATATTCTGCCTCAGCAGTCACCTAGCATATTGGATGATCTAGCAAGTCACGAAATAAAATATAACAAAACAACCCCCTGCTTTCATAGTTAGTTAATTAAGTCGTTAATTGTTAAAAACATTTGTTGTTTCTTTTCTCTTTTTCCTTTTTGTTTCCTCCATCTGGAGGTTGGTTGTATTTTGCATCATTTTGGCGCGCTTCTAAATAAAAATGGCATGCATTTGAATGTGTGGTCCAGAAAGAAAGATTTTATAAAAAGAACATTATAGTAACACGAAAACTAGCTGAGAAAGCAGAACCAACTGGGTTCCAGTTTATGTAAACCAATTTCGGATTGTCCGATTCACCCACCTAGCCCACTTTGAATTCAACTTCCATATACATAGGTTTGTAATTGGTTTGGACCTGATTCCAGATTTCTAATTAGCAAAACCCTGGCCTCAGGTATAAAACATTGAGTTTGGCAGAAAAATAGATTAAAGACAGGATTATTTGGCTAGCATGGTGTGGTCAAAGATCTGATTCACATTCCAGATAGCAAAACAAGCTTGATGCTTCCTTGATATCAATGCCGTCAAAAAGCAAGAGATTCATGGCATCGCTGAATTGGAGATCTAATAAAGCAGAAAAAAATATATCAGGAGAGATCTGACATTAAGTCAAGCCAAGGTCCAGAGTGAACTTTATTTTTTCACAAGCTCCCAGCAGTGGCTAATGAAAACGAAGTTTACATGTGGAACTGAAAGGTGCCCAGGGGATTAGACAGAGACCATGTCCCCAAAGTGTGTTTTGTCCAAAAGAATCCCAAACACAACAAATGTAAGCAAAAAAAGGAGACAGATGATGTTTTCCAAGCAGCAAGTTGTAGATGTGATGAAAATGGGAGAAATATTGTACCTCCGACACCAGGAACTACAAGATGCCTAAAAGTACAGGTACTCCTCATGGAAGTGGTTTGGCCAGGAAAATTTCCATGTATTCTGATTTGAAGCAAGGATGACACAACTTAAAACATAGATTCTGTAAAATGCTAAAACATTAATAATACCTGAAGCGTAGCTGACAAAGGAACCATTGGTTGACCCACAACAGTTCCTTGCTGCACTAATTCATAACCTTGAGTTCCAATTGTAAAAGGCCTAGTGTACGACTGTATAGCTGACATACTAGCTACATACAGCCCCTCCTTTGACAACCCCTTAGTGTTCATCTCATGTGTTACATAAAGGAAAATTTTGAAAAAGAAACTCAAAGTAAGTGAACTGCGAAATTCAACCATTCCACCTGGTGCATTCTCTGCTAGTGGGGTGTCCTCTTTTAACAAATTGAAGGCCTCATCCAACAAGCCATAGTCCATCTTGTTTCCAACAAGCAAACTTTCAGTTTTTCCATCTGTGAGTGGCACTGCAGCTACCCCTCCATAGACAATAGAGACATCAGATACTATTGTAACGCCCCAGATATAATTTCCATATTTGTATCCAACTCTTGCCGTCTCCGGCGCTAAGTTATATTTATTTCTCGGGTTCGGGTTTTTGTCTCCGTGTGTTGTCTTCGTTTTCATGCATCTCATACCATGTCATCTCGTGCATCGCATTTGCATACATGTTCATCTCGTGCGTTCGAGCATTTTCCCCGTTGTCCATTTTGCATTCCGGCGCTTCGTTCTCCTCCGGTGGTCATCTCTAGCTTTCTTTCGTGTTTGGGAATTAAACATTTCCGGATTGGACCGAGACTTGCCAAGCGGCCTTGGTTTACTACCGGTAGACCGCCTGTCAAGTTTCGTATCATTTGGACTTCGTTTGATACTCCAACGGTTAACCGAGGGACCGAAAAGGCCTCGTGTGTGTTGCAGCCCAACACCCCCCAAATTTGGCCCAAAACCCACCAAACTCTGCTCCATGCCCTAGAGCGTTCGATCACGATCGTGTGGGCGAAAACCGCACCTCATTTGGACTCTCCTAGCTCCACTTATGTCTATTTATAGACCCCCTCCTCCAAATCCCGGATCCCCTCGTCTCAAACCCTAGTTT